GGGCCGGCGGCAGAGGGGCCGCGGTGTAAACTGAAGGCAAGAAGGAGCTGCAGCGCTTCCAGCGCACGCTCTCGCCCAGCTTCCCAGTAGGGATTTTAAGAGGTGGCTCCGCAGGAATGTGACCCGCCAAACTCAGGTGACCGCTCCTGCAAGCGAAGAGATCCGGTCGGGCTGTTTTCTCTGGGCCCCGCAGCCGCAGCCAGCGCCGGCCCGGGGGCTGTTTTGCCTGGGACTGCGGTGGCTCTGACAGATGCGCGGCTCTGGTGCTTGTGCTGCCACTGGGCTCTTTACCAAGGGTTTGGAGTTTTGCGTGGTTTGACATTGTAAACCCATTTGCGGTGCCTTTTAAGAAATGTTGGACTACAAAGCTGTAAGTTGCATAGGGGTCATATCCACGAAAAAGAAATCCCTTTAAGATAAAAATGTTTGAGACCCTTATGAAGCTTTTGCTTGATAGTAATTCCAGGTTTTAAAGTTGCTTAGTGCAGACTTTGCAAGGGCACATATTCTTGCCCTTAGGTGTTTATAGAAACTCACTGACAGAGCAAAATGGCGCTGTTGACTAGACTGTTAATGTAATGTTCCTGTTGCTTTTTTGGGGGGGGGAAAGTACTGAGATGAAAACATTCCCCTTTAATAGTGATATGAAATGCTATCCTTTCAACTGGTTGCACTAAAACATTTTCTTCTTAAAATTGATTAAAAAATATATTTTCAGGGAACTTGGGAATTATATTTTCATGTGAAGCTTTGAATTCTATTGGGTTAGATTTCCTTTGCTTTATTCTCCTATCCTCCAAAAAGACCAAACAAAAAAGGAAAATATTGAATTGCACTACTGGATTTGAGAATCTTTTTTGAAAGATATATTTATCACATTCACACAGAACTCTAAATATTCCCGTGACTTTTCTCTTTTTGTTGTCTTAGAGAACACCTTTGCCCTTGAACTGTCCCGCACAGTGCAACTTGTATTAGCTATACTTTACTTTGATGGAAACTTTTCTTACAGTTGATATGTGATATTTTGTGAGTAGTAGCCAATGTAACTGCTTATGTTGTTGACTGCTGCTACAAAGTAAATGTTCACAAAACTTACCAAAATGTATTTTTTAGCTTCTGAAACAGAGTTAATTTCTGGTGGATCTGATAAACAACTCATTCTTTGGGAATGGAATGGAACAGGAACGTGGAATAATCCGGTAAGCAGGAATAACCTCTTTGTGAAGTGCCCCCGCCCCCCCCCCAGTTTCTCTCATACCACAAATTATCTGTTTTGTCTGTATTTCTTATTCATACCTCTTCATTTTACCTTGACTATTGATCCTCATGTGTATCACCTTCGAATTGTTGGTATTCTGTCACGCTGTGTTTTACTTTAAATGTTGGTTCTTCTTTTTTGTAGTTTAACTTTTTTTTCAAATCAGCTTTCATTAAAAAACTACCTAACCAGTCATCAGGTGGATTTGTCTTGCATGTCTAAAAGATGCTGCTTGTACATTCTGGAGTCATCAGCTTTCTAATCTCATGTAGTACTTTTCTTTAAGCTGCCTTAAGATCTTCAAACTATGAGGTTCATTTTCAGTTGACATTTCCTGTGCCCTTCTTCCTCATTTCTTTATATCCATTTCTAGTGATTTCCAGTCAAATCTGTGTAACAGTTAGTGTTTGTATACAAGTAATCTTACCAGAATGATACACAAGTTGGGGTAGGTATTTCAAAAAACCAAAACAAACAACCCCCCCAACCCAAAACAAAACAAAAAAAAATCTGTGCAACAATTGAGTTTTGCCATCGAAAATGGGAAAATTAAGGAGATGTGCTAATTTATTATTCATACTCTAAAAATGTAAGGCAAAAGATGGAGTATGGTGTAAAAGCCTTCAGAATGAACTGAAATTTAGATAACAAATTAGATAAATATCTTTTTCATCGAACTTATAAATCTTACGTATTAGGTGTTCATTTGTGAATGGTTGTGTGGGTAACCCATTTCATAGGCTGTCTCAAATGAGATTAGACTTGGCGTTTTAAGAGGCATGAAAATCCATACGAGGGGGAAGTGTACCTTGAGTAGTTGTTATCAATCGTGTTTGATGGGGGTTGTTCTCAGAAACAATTTCTCATCCTGATCTGTTGTAACTGTTTACATATTTATTTAAAATACTTTACAGATGTCTTTATTCACCTCTTCTGCTGATGAGATGCACAGCCTTATGGCAGTCTTTGAAAAAGAATGTGGCTAAATGCACACATTTTAATGACAGTTCTAGACTAGTGTAACTTCTTAAAAGCAGGCAGAGTTCTGTATTGGACCAATTGAAAATTCTTACTGGGGCCTACTGTGCTATATTTTGGAAAGAGATGTCAAGTGCGTTTATGACAAAATTTGGATAAATGCTGGATGAATTCTGGTCACAGAATTAAAAACTGCTTGTTTTGCTCTACGTGCTTGAGGAACAGATTGCAAAGTGAATCACCTGTATTCATGCATTAAGAAAGTAAGTACCTAAGTCTAAATTTAGAGTTCATGTTTTTCATGTTGGTATTTTGAAGGAGTAAAAAGCTATTCTGCTTTGCGAGAACACACTAAGCATTGCTGCTACTTATTCCATTGTGTTCTCTGCTCTGCCTCCTTTGCTAAGTTCTCCAAACTTTTATGAGATGTTCCTTAGGGTGATGGGCAAGAGAAGGAGACAAAGGAAGGCAAACTGCTTTTCCTAACTTTTATACTATTTCCAACTTTCCTCAAGGCATGGTGCGGTTTGTATAGTGTACACAGGAACATTTAATTCTGTTCAGCTTTGAAAAAAATCTCCTTAAGTTAATAGTCATTACTGCTGTATCCCTTCACTGTGTTTTCCTGGAATATGCTGTAGCTTGAGCATAGCTTGGCAAATGCTCTGCCGTCGCAGGTATACAACTCGTTTTCAGTATTAAATTATTTTATTTCTTAAAATGGCTTTAAAAACTCTCTCAGATAAGTCACAGGAATTAAAAACTTTGTAAAACTTTCTAATGTGTTCAGCTTGTCAAAAGCATTCCTCTCAAAGGCCATACTGAAGCTGTTTGTGCTGTGGATGCTGTCTACCAGTCAGATGAACCTGATTTAAATCTGCTGATAGCTTCTGCAGCTTCTGACTCTACTGTGAGAATCTGGTCTCGGCATGGTTCAGAAGGTAAGGTTTTTTTAACATTAGGGACAACATACTGGCTTAATAAAAATGATGAATGCTTATCCATTGAAGTACTTGGATAAATACTAACATCTTTTAATGCAACTGCATTGATTTCTCCTCAAACGTCAGTACACCACACCACTGTATTGCTCTTTGAAAGCTGAGGGCTGTACTAGTATAACAGCTTTGGGTCAGATTTGTTCTGCAGAATGATTTATCTTTGTTTTTCATCAGTGATGTGTTGGCTGAATTTACTTGTTTCTTTTTAATAAGTATTCAGAATCTCATAATCTGAACCATCATTTTGCCCTGTAATGTGGGGGCAGACTAGCTGTGTGTGTGAACTAATTACTTAGTAAAATGATTCGTGCTGTCATTAGAAAGGTGAGGTTAAACTAGTCACTTGTTTGTTACTATTGACTTGAGTCTGATGAAGTTTGGGATAATAGCATCTTGACCTTCTGGTGAACTAGGCCCTTGCATGGAGAACAGCTCTTTAAAATACATAAGAAATAAATAGGGTGGATAGTCTAGATTTAAAGCGTTATTTGGTAGTTGAGTTGTACTGACTGCATCTCTCAAGATACTTTCTTCCTTATCTGGTGTACTTGTGGATTTTCCATTGCCCTGCCTACACGAAGGAGATAGGTGGGAGTTGCCAATCTTCAGTCCCATGTTAGAATCATAGAGTCGTTCAGGTTGGACAAGACCTTTAAGATCATCAAGTCCAACCATTAACCTAACACTACCAAGTCCACTGCTAAACCAATTAAGGGTAGAGTAATAATGAATTACATGTTTCCTGGCTTGGTGGCTGGATCATTTATAATGAAAGTAAAACTAGGAATCATTAAGGTTGGAAAGGACCTCTAAGATCATCAGTCCAACCATCAACCCAACACCACCATGCCCACTAAACCATGTCCCAAAGTGCCACATCTACGCATTTTTTTGAACACCTCCAGGGATGGTGACTCCACCACCTCTCTGGGAGGTTTTGCAAGGCGTTTCTCATGCTGCCAAAGAATATTGTGAAGTCCTATTCTTTCCTTTTTGTCTTGCTGTTGTGGGTTTCAGTGGTGGAAGGACCAATTTTTTAAAATTCTGCTTCTGTAGAGAGGTTTTTCTGCTACCCTGTTGGTTACTCTGATCTTGATGGCTTACCAGTGGAACCACTTCTAGGATCTCAGGGGTGTTTGCAGGAATGTTGGGTTTTGCATATCTCTTTATCTGCTCTTGTAGCAAATGGATGCAGTTTTAGCTTTCTGTGTAGTGAATGCTGTTGCCACAGTATATAGTTTGCAATTATTTATTGCTTCTGATCCGTTACCACAGTGAAGCTATACAACTTTAATACTTGGTGGAGAATAGTGACTTAATCTTCTAACTCAGCTAACTCTGGATGAATTTCTGTGGGCCCACAGAAGACAACATTATTACTTAGGCTTTTGAAAAACACAGAAGTTTTTTAGCTCCTTAAAATAAAATTGAATTGGAAATTTTAACTACATAATGACAAGAGGAAATGACAGTGTAACTGTAATACTTATGATGAGTGAGATCAACACTGTCTGTTCTTGTTTCCTAGCTAAATGCATTGAAATTCTGCAGTTTGGAAATGGATTTGTTATGGATGTCTGCTTATCCTTCTTGCCTGGCAGTAATGGTAAGTACAGCTGCATATCTTGAATATCATTGCAGGGCATGACAGGATTTTCATTTGACTGACTCCAGACCCTTGTGCCTTATTTCTTGTTTTCTACGGAATCAACCTAAGCTGCTGCTTGTATTTAAAGATTTGTATTTAAAGATTGAACTCTTCTTAGCAATTAGAAGAATACTGCTAATTGCAGCATCTTCAAAATGATGCTCAAATGGTGAGACAGCTTAAAAAGGGGGTAACAGGGCTGTAAGTGAATGGGATAGGATGGTGCTGTTAGTTTCACCCACTCCTTGTGGTGCTGCTGCTTATGTTTGTTCTTGTTGTTTGGATTGAAGGGCAAGAGCCAGAAAAAGAATCTGCAGGCCTATATCAAACATTGTGGAATAATGAGCAGTGTTTATCACCGGTTCAGTCTTAAATGTGAAAAAAATTTAGACGCTGAACAAGCTTAACCTGACTGTTCAGTATGGTTTATATAGTTTTCTATTAACATAAATGTTCAGATTTTGTAGCCTCCCACAGATATATTCTTCTGTTGCAAATCTGTGGAAGGTATTTTTTTAAAACTAAACATATCCTCTAGTGCAATACAAGCCGGAAACATATGTTGAGGTATGTTTATGTTTAAGTATCATTAGACCCTTTCACCTGGATGGAGGAGTGCCAGGCTCCCAAGAGAAAAAGTACTAAAGTTTCTTACTCTTTCTGGAGTTTTCAACTGTTTGCTGCATGTGTTCCACGCTGGTGTGTTGTTTGATTGTATGCCTCCAGAGCAGTTATACAGAAGCTTATTTTATTCTTTGGCTTGTGATAATTCTGGGAGATACGTCAAGATGCATCATCCCATTTGGAAATGCCAGTGTCCGTTTCCAGAGTGTGTCTGATACCAAAAGCAGTGTCTGCACCACTGAAGAACTTTAAACCCCTCTCTCTCTCTATTTTTCCTGTAAATATACTAACAGGTGGTTCTTGAGGTGAAGTTAAAAGGCTTGAGGGTAAATTAAAATCGTTACCTCCAGTGTGAATTTTTGTTAGAAGTGAAGTCTTTGTGGTGCTAGTTTAACGAGTATAAAATTCATATTGCAAAGCGATAGATTATTTCTTCATTTATGATACTGTACAGGTAAGAAGTTCTCACTGTAACACTTGAGTAGTGCATCTGTTTAACATTGAAATCATCTTGTATATAAGAGAAGTGACCATTCATTTTGGAAAAACTTAAATGAAGATTATCATACTAATTCTTAAAACTAAATGCTTCTGAAACCAAAATTGAATGGACTGCTTGCAGCTTCTTTAAATGGTGGATTAGCAAGCACTTTGTTTTGCTGTGAAAATCTCCCTGAGTCCCCAAAACCCAGTGTTCCTTAAAGTTACATTCAGAGCAGGACAATCCTTTATTATGGTCTCTTCCCATCCCAATTCAGATTAGTTATCCAAAACAACACAGTGCTCATAACCTGAAAGAGTACTTGACTTTTCTGAAGAACTGAAAGTATTTTCAAATGAGAAATTATTTGCATAGGTTTTGTACGGAAATTTTAAGAAAAATCCTATACGTTTATGTTTTGAATGCCAGTTCCAATATGAATGATCTGTGCTGCTAAAATTATCAAGAAACAGTTTAGATTTTGAACCATAAATGTATGGTTAGAAATGCTTCCCCTGGAAATCTGTAAAGGGGCTTTTAATAGAGCATAGCCATGTTCGGTGTTTTCTACCTAAACCTGACATAGTAGTCCATACAACTGAACTGTTTTTGTTCAGAGGAGTATGTTAATTCTGAAATTTAAAGAAAGTAGCTTAAGATATATTATTAAAAATCTCACTGCTGATCATTTTGTCAGAAACATTAATCTGTAATGGCAGTTTGGAATTTTAATGAACTTCAGGGGAAAATGATCTATGATAACTTTAGGAGTTGCTCTGAAATCTTTATGAAGGCTATGTTGGCAGCTGTATTAAGATTTAAAGAAGCTTTTCTCTTGAGGACAATCTGCAGTTCTTAAGTCAGGAATTAAATACAGAATTACTTTTCTGAAAGTCGTAAACTACTCTCCTGAACTAGAAGCATTTACAGTAACCTCTAATTTCACCAAGCAAAGAAATTTAAAGCTCACCTTGAAAATTGATTCATATGTAATGGATGCTTTAACTTTCAAAAGACATTGAAGTTCATGATGCTTAGTATTTTAAGTGATTGTCCTTGAAAATAAATGATTTAAAAAAAAAAAAAAAAAGAACCATTTTTGTGAAGAAGTCAAATGGGGAAAGCCAATAGACTGCCCATAAAAACCTGAACAATCATTTGCAGTTGGAGTATAGCTTAAGCATTTTATTGGCAGCCTCTTAGTTAAGGAGTTTCTTCACAGTTGTTTTCTGAGTCTGCAAGAAAAGCTTCCTACTGTTTTGTTTGGTTGGTTTTTTTGCCTTGCAATGTCTGCAGCAACTCTGCTTCTAAAATACTGGGAATAGCATTTACTATTTCACAGATGTTGATTAGCTCTTTTTCATATACTGTCTCTTCCTACCACCTGGGTAATTGTGGTGCCGTAGCTTGGCCTCTGAGAAATAAGAACTGTCTCCTTGGAACTGAATTGCAACAGGTGAAAAAGAGGGCGAGTAAAATTGAAAAAGCTTTGCTGATCATGTTGTCACCATTGCAATTGGACCACAGTTTCCAATTCTTTTTTTTTTTTTTTCCCTCCTCCCCTCCCCTATGTCCTTTGCAGGACTTCATCTCAATCAGATCCAATTCTATTAATCTAGAGCATGTATGCAAAAACCTATATAATAGTCTGTTTTGCCAGTTATATACTTCTTGCTAGAACTTATTGAGTGAAAGCGTTTCCATTTGTCTGAAACAGCAATTAGATCATAACTCTCTTCTTGGTTTTGTTAGTCAAACTTTTATTTCATTAAGTATGTAATGGCCCATAAAATGTATTTCTCAGGAAAGGATGATACAGGCTCCAAGAACATGCATTGTAGCGTATTTTGTGGAAAAAACCTTCACTCTTGCCCAATTTCTGTGGACCTAAAGACCAGGTCTTCTTTCAAAACAGCTCATTACCTCCAGTCCAAAGCAGTCTTTTTTGGCCTCATGTGAGGCAAGGAGGAGATGGAGGTGAAATGTGACTTAGGTTGGCGAGAAGCAGCAAGTGATGGAGGAGTAGGAAGGTAAAATGTGACTTAGAAGTGTGAGAGGAACAGCAGATAACTAGGTACAGATTTGGTACAGACAGAAGGAGGAAACTAGCATAGAGCATAAGCTTATTACAAATATTCAAGTTGATTTTTGGTTTATCCATAATAAAGACAAAATTATCTCTTTAAAGGCATGGCATTTAGGTTTTTTAAATTAACTAGTTGATTTTAGTGAAACCTAGTAGTTTGTTTTCTACCCAGACTTGAGAAATGCAAATGTCTAGCCCTGATAACTTATTTCTTCATAATTTTCTGATTAATTTATTTTCTTTTACTGTTTCGGTCCCTATCAGTACTACTTCATACTTATGACCCAGAAAGAGTGGAGTAAGAGTTAACTATTTTTCCCTACGATCCTCTGTGGGAGAGATGCCTAACTTACCTTGTTTTCCCCTTAGACATAACTTTGGTTTGATTCAGTAGACTTAGTTTTTTTGTGCACTTTCTAGATAGCTGGTGGAAGTAAACTACTACTCAAGAGCTGAGCAGGTGTATAATAATGTTAATTGCTTTCACATCCTTGTGTACAGTGGGTGGTGGTCTGTTTTCCTTTTTGGGTCTGTCTGTCTTTTTATTTCCTGTATAGTAATTACACTAACTTCATCTGTATACTTATTTCATTTGATTTAGGAACTTGAACTGTATTAGTTCTGAGTCATTTTGTTTTGCTGCTTGCTCCTTTTGTATTTAGAGCAAATGTGTGTTGGTGTCAATAAAATAAACATAGTTAATTAAAAATCTCTAATACTTGAACTTCCTACAGATATGTGAAGTTGAAGGAAACTACTTTTTAGCATCTTAAGTGTTTGTAGACATTATTTACATGCCAGAATAACTTCTGCGTTTTGTGTTCTTGAGATACTAGTTTATTTCAAATAGTATTAGGTGTCTAATTTAGAAAACATAAAAAAGTGGTACCATGCTTGCCTGTCAGTTTGTATTAATGTATTTGTTGATACTATATTGATTTTTTAATATCATTTATATAACTTTTCATATCCTACAATATTAGATTTTGTAACTTGAGTAATGAAGACACTTTTTTCCTTTCCAGTACCAATACTGGCTTGTGGTGGTGATGACTGCAAAATAAGTTTGTTTATACAGCACAATGGTCAGGTAACTACAGTTTTTGTCTCTTGCTTAGAACATTACTCAGTCCTGCTTCTTTTCATATGTGTTGCTCTTTTTTTTTTTTTTTTTTTCCTTCTTGAGGTTGTTCAGTAACTACTATCTGTCTCTAGATAGCTGTGACATACAACATACAGAATGTTAAAGTTTGATGATTCAGTGCATAAAAGTGTTAGTTTTTTCTTATTTTTTCCCTGTGTGAAGATAGCCTGTGTTTCTGTTCCCACCGACATAAAATAGCTATGACTGTCCTTTACTGAGTATCCATACATTGAATGGTTCATATGGAAATGATGTTACTTCCAGTCTATAAATTCTTATAATAAAACTGGTAAGATTTCTATCTGTGGAGTTGCATGTTTGTTGCTAAGTATGCTGTTTGTGCTGCTTCTTGTGAATGTCCAAAGAAGCATTTTAAGGAGTATCTGATCTAAAAGCACACACATTTTTCATGTATTAGTCAAAAGCTGGCAATCTTTAGTTTTTCATACAGATAAATGTTCCTTTGGAGCACTAGAAAGAGATTCTGTCCTCTCTTGCATCTATTCAGAAGTTTTTTTTTAGACTCTGAAGCATACGTTGAATGAGTGTTTTCCAAAACAGAAGTCACTTCTTTCTCTCTGTCACTCCCTTAAAAAACCCCCTCAAACCACAAACACTGCCCTCAATGCACCAATGACCCTAACATTCAGAACCCCCCATTGAAACTGATGTGTAGGAACCACTTGCTCTTCTGGAGTTGTTCAGGGACACAGTCCCTTCAGAGATTAAAGAATAGATACTCCTCTTTGCTTTTTGAGAGAGATAAAAGCTACTTTTGTAGATAATTTTGCCTGTTCACGCTGCCATATACAATAAGACTTTTTTTTCATTATCAATAAAATAAATACTTCATCCTTTATCTTCTATGTTCAGTGATTTCTTGACCACTAAGCAGGAAACAAGGGTTGCTTTCTTACCTTCCCCCCTCCACCATGTAGCTCATGAGTTAAATCAGTTTAATGACATTCTCTGGGAATTAGCAATGGCAGAATGCCACTCATGATTCTCAGTGTGCTAAAGGCTGACTTTTATCTCAGGGGCTCGGCAGTTGATTTTCCTCATTCAAAATTTGGAACTTGTTTTCTTGTATGATTCAGATTAACAAATAATATGCAGTTTTACTGCCAAAAATGTTCAGAGATGCATAACTTATTTTGCCAGTTGTTGACCAAACTTTTGAGTATAACGATGTTCATAGCCATTCTTAAAGGCAGTCAGTCTGTGGAGGATGAAGGAAGGTAGCTGGAATAAAGAAGCTCCATCTTCAGCTTCATAAGCAAGTTTATGGTGCTGTCTCTCTTTGGAGGTAGGAAACTTTATTCATACAAGGGGTGAGGAATTTTCTCTTATTTTACATGTGTTATTTTTCACACCTTCAATTTTAGGAAGTATTTTCACCAGCTGTCCAGGCAGAGGTGGTGTTCAGAGTCTCTCCTTTTTAAATGAGGTGGGACTTCTGATTGGTGTCTATCTTAGTTAAAAAGAGATGTTCTGGAAAGTTAAGTAGACTGTACAGACCTCAAAGAGAAGAGCCCAAATTTGATTCCATGTAGAGTAAAAGTACGTTACAGCTATTAACAGAATGAAAACATCCTTGCAAGCCTTCTGGCATAAGTTCCTTCCCAGCTGCTAAAGGGAGGTTCTCCTCTGTAGTCAGGTTCTCTCAGATCTGCCGACACCTTTTTTTATGGCTTCTGTAGTACTTTTAAAGGTATTTGAAGGAAGTGTTACTGTCATCCTACACCATGCAGCTGAGTATAGAAGAGTGATTAGAATCTAAACTTCTGCATCATTCTGTCACTGGTAAGGGCCTGTAGCTCTGTCTTGTTAATTGTAACTCTTGGAAAGCTCTTCATTTAGTTAATGTCCTATGAACCCCAAAGGTAGAATGTAAGTTCATAATGGGATGTTCTAATGTAACTTGGAAGGCACTGTTATACTCTGAGGGAGGATGAGGCATCTTCATTTAGCTAATTCCGGCTGCCTTTTGGTAAACTCATTAATTTCACAGCTGAAATATATTTATTCATAAAAACTGCTTCGTTTTTGAAATTGAGCGGGCATGTTTCAAATCCTTTAAGACTGTCTACCCAGAGATCCCATACTGTGTTAAGCAGTAGAGAGAAAATGAACTCTTTGCTTTTCTGAGTTCTTGAAAGAGGGTATTGATTTATAAAAGTACCCAGGGAGAAATCTTTCCGAAACCATTATATGTTTTCCTGCTTGAGATATTAGAGGCCTATGGAGGGGAAGTAAGTAAACCACAGGATCAAACCAGAGCTTTAAAACAAAACATTTCTACTTTGAGCTTGGTTTCTGTGAGAAGATTTTGTGGTGCGTGTTTGACTATGTTTCCCCCAAATAATTTGGCCTAACTGAAAAGCGGAATAAGAGACTCAAAGATAATTCAGGCTCTTTCTAATTTGATGAGATTAACAGCTGGATAGAAGAGGGATATCGCATCTAGTGTCCAGTGGAGAAAAACTGAGAAGACTTGGACCTCTGTTCCCAAATTTGCCAAACAATACTACCAGCCTGGTCCTGAAGGACATGTGCCGAAAGCGTGGGCAGAGTTGGTTGGGCAGAGTGTGCTGGGCATGTCCACAGGCAACCTAGCTTCATTAGTTCTGTTAACAACAGAACAGCTTTATTCTTTGCCTAAAAGAAAAGAGACCAGATTGCTGCTACGCAAAAATGTTCAGAGATTAGTTAAGAGGCATGGAAAAGCCTGTGAAGTAGGTGAGTCGGACCATGAGCTTTTGTTAGATTTAACTGTTGGTGCTGTAATTTCTTACGTATCCAGTGAGGACCAAGGGGAAAACTGAAATAGAGAAGGAGAAATATGAGGCTATAAAAAGAAAATCTGTAAAAATGAGAAGAATGACAGATCAAAATACATGTAAATATAACCTAGGCAATACTAAAAACTTTGACTGAATCATTTAAAAATACTGACTGTGTGCATCTGCAGGCAGCTTTAAATTCATGCTGTTTTAGAACAGAATACATCTGAACAAACTGAGTGTGTGATACCAAGAGACACAGACTTCAAAGAAAATGGCAAAAACAGTACAAAAATCCCAAGCAGAACGCATAACTGCAACACTACTCCTTGCTCAGTTTCAGTGGACAATTTTTATTTTTATGGGAAACAGTATCTCGAAAATTTTGAGTGAATACTGTTCTATAGCACAAAAGAACTACGTGCTTGACTTAAGGGTAAGTAGTGCCTAAAAGCCTGTTTGGAAAATGTCTTAGAAACCTGGGGTGGTATTAATAACCTCAAAGTAATTAGTTGTACTCTTTAAAGAGAAAACAAATGTCTGCTCTTCTTAATAGTCCTCTTTGATGTGAGACAATGAGGGTAATTTAAAAAAAAAACACACCACCTTGAAATTAAAAATAGGAAAATGATTAGATGTGTGTTTAGATTAATATTAAGTCAAGTTTCAGGAGATATGCACATTGTTTAACATAAAAGGAACCATAAAAGACAAGAATGTTAGCAACAGTTCAGCCTGAACCAATCTTTCAGTTGCGAATAAATTTACCAACTAACCTTGGTGAATGTAAAATACGGAGCACTATGTCAAAGATCATACAAATGGATGAATAAATAGGTATTTTATCTATTATCTGAAATATGAATTACTAAAAAGATTTTTTTTTTTTTTTTTAAATGTATTGCCAGACACAGGTAGTCTTCAGAAAAACCTTTAGTTCACTGTCTGATCTCACTTCCTGGGCTGTTCGTGCCTTTATTTACACATAACCAGTTGGGTGTTTAACATAAACATCTATCTGGAATGCCACATCCAGATGTGCCAGTGAGTGCAGAAGTGACTAGCCAAATGAGGCTTAGGTGGCTGTGAGAATACATTCTGAAGACCAAAACTTTCTGATTTGGAAGATTCTGTTAAGCTATTCTGGTCATGTGTCTCATATACAGATTGTTCTTTAACATTAAGACTGCAAATGTAGAACAAGGAGAAGCTGAGTAACATTGTTTGATGGGAAGGGTATTTTGGAGAACATCAGGAATGTTGGACCAAAGAGAGGGGCACTGGTTTCTGAGTGTGGGTTTTTTCATACTCATTTTTCATACTCATACAAATTTTTCCTTTGGGTGAGTTACTGTTGCTCATCATCTCCTCTGAAGCTGAAGAGAGATTTTGAGAAAGAGCAGCAACACAATGAGAAAGGCTTTGGGTTTGTTTGTTTGGTTGGTTGTTTTTTTGTATG